TGATGCTGCTTGGCCTGCTGTGTTCATCCAGCTCTATACCTTGTTATCTCAGATTCTCCAGCATCTGCAGTTCGTACTATCTCTGATACACTCTGAGGAAAGGCTGGATGAGGTTAGGGTTGCATCCAGTGGAGTTCAGAAGAGTTTGAGGTGACTTGATTGAACAATTTAACATCTCGAGGGGCCTTTGCAGGGTGGATGTGTAAAAGATGCTTCCTCTAAAAAATAGGGGTTACCATTTAAAAATAAGGGATTGTCCAGTTAAAACAGAAGAGGAGGTGAATTTGTTCTCACAAAAGGTCATGCGTATTTGGAAGTCTCTTCCTTCAAAGTAAGTGGAAGCAGAGACTTTGAGTATGTTTCAGACAGAGGAAGACTGAATCTTGATAAGCAAGGCAGTGTAATGTTATCAAACAGCAAAGACAGTACAGCACAGGATCGGACCTTTCAGCCTGTTAAGCCTACACTGACACATGAAGCCTTTCTAAACTAAGGTCCTTTTGCCTCTGCATGGTTGATTGCCCTCTATTCCCTGCCTATTCATGTATCTGTCAAGATGCCTCTTAAACGTTGCTATTGTATCTGCTTCTACCACCAACTCTGGCAGAACATTCTAGAACTATACCACTCTCTGTGTAAAAAAAAAACTTGCTTCTTACATCTACTTTAAACTTAGCACCTTTCACCTAAACCTATGTCCCCTAGTAATTGAAATTTCAATGCTGGGGAAAAGATTTCGACTATCCATTCTATTCACGCCTTTTATAATTTTGTAAACTTCTGTTAGGTTGCCCCTCAGCCTCTGACATTCGAATAAAAACAAACCACGTTTGTCCAATCTCTCCTTAGAGTTAATACTCTCCAAGCCAAGCAATATCCTGGAAACCCTTTCTGTACCCTTTCCAAAACCTCCACATCCTTCTGAGAGTGTGGCAATGAGAAATGTACACAATATTCCAAATATGTCCTAACGAAAGTTTTGCACAGTTGCAATATAAATTGCGAATTTTCTCAATAGTGTCTGCTGTATCCTCTGGCAATCTTCCTCACCATCTGCACCTCCCCCAGTCTTTGTAGCACTTACAAACTTACTAATCAGACCACCTACATTCTCCTCCAAATGACTTATGTATATTATGAACAACAGGGATCCCAACAATCGATCCATGCGGAACACCACTGGACTCCAGTCAGAAAAGCACCCTTCTCATTTTTACTCTCTGTCTTTTATGACCAAGCCATCTTACCAGCTCACCATGGATCCCATGTGACTTCACCTTTTGCATTAGCTGGCCATTTTGGAACTTGTCAAAGGCCTTGTTAAAGTCCACATTGACAATATCCATGGCTATGCCCTGATCAATCATTTTTGTTATTTCCTCAAAAAACTCAATGAAGTTTGTGAGAAACAACCTTCCCCGCACAAAGCCATGCTGCCTATCACTAATAGCACAATATTTTTCCAAACATAAGTAAATCCTGTCCCTAATAATCTTCTACAATAATTTCCCCACAACTGCTGTAAGGCACGCTGGCATGCAACTTCTTGGATTATTCCTGTTGACTTTGTTAAACAAAGGAACAACATTGGATATTCCCCAGTCCTCCGAGACCTCTCTTGTGACCAAAGAGGATATAAAGATTTCATACAAGGCCCCATCAATTTCCATACTTGCCTCCCTCAGTATTGTGGGATAGGTGCCATCAGGTCCCGGAGATTTGTCTACCTTAATGCTTTTCAAAACACCAAACACCCTCCTTTTTCATATTGACATGCCCTAGAATATCAACATAACCCTCTCTAGATTCACAAACCATCATGTCGCTCTCCTCGATGAATATCAGTGTGAAGTACTCATTAAGGGCCTCACCCACTTCCTCTGTCTCCAAGCATAAATTCCCTCCGTACCCTTTCCCTAGCTACTCTCTTGCTCCTTATATATGTATAAAACGCCTTGAAATCTTTCTTAATCCATAAAACACCTTGAGATTTTCCTTAATCCTGGTTGCCAAAGATATTTTATGGCCCCTTTAGATCCTCCTAACTCCTTGTTAAAGTAAACAAGGGCCAGGTGGGAATGTGAAGTTATGAGATCAGAATGGAAATAAGGCTCCAGAGTCTCCTGTTCCTAATTCATATCCTTATACATTACAGCAGCTGGGACTGTTTCTGTTGAACTGCCTCCACCACCATTGTAGTTCAAGGCCAGAAGCTGAATGGAAACCCCCAGTCAAGGCTCTTAATGAGCCCAACCATCTCTGAGCGCCACTTCCCGCAAAATGGCCAGCACAGATGTCAGGAAACTGGCATTCCATCAGGCACTGGTACTTTTCTGGGCCACATCCACATATGGCTCCTACCTCAGTAGGCTCCAGAAATCCTGCTATTATACAATACTGGGCACCACACTCTAGGAAGGCTGCTAAACCTTTTGAGAAGGCTGCTGGAAAGAGAGACATGAATAGTTCCAAGGAGGAGGGTCATCATCAGCAATGTGGAGAGATTGGAGAAGTTAGGGTTGTTTTAAGTATCCGTGTTTCATAAATTTAATCTCTGGCCCTGCTCTCGGCTGGAGTAAACCTGTGTGAGAAGATCTGTTGGAGGTCAGAACACTAGCCCTTTAGTGCCCTGCAGTTTCACTGTCAGATTCACAATACATATTGTGCTCAATGTAAATCAGAATATCAGCTTGGTTGCTGTTTTGGTCATCTAATTGGGCACCTCTTGATGCAGAGCTGCAGTATTGTGCATTACCTCGGACAATCAGCTGGCTCTGGTGCTCCACTGCTGCTGCATCGTTGCTGGCGATGCATGTGTAGTTCCCATTGTGCATCAGGGAGAGGTTGGAGATCCTCAATGAGCTGGTGAAGTCAATTTTGTCAATGGTGACTCCCAGGCTTGCAGGGATTGGACGACCATCTTTCTGCCAAGTGATTCTGATTGGCAGGTCCCCTGAGATGACTACACAGGGGATGAAGACACGCTGCCCAATGGAGAATCTTGGAAATTCAAAAGGCTGGATGAAAGGTGGGACTGGCAGAGAGAAAAAAAATATAGTTAATGAGTTGTCCGAGTTAACATGCTCAAGTAATGATATTCTGCTTTCTGAAGGTGGCAAATTTAACATGATAACCAAAGCAACAATGCCCCCAATTTAAATGTCTTTAAAATTTGCTTAGCAATGGCTACTGACTGCTGAGAAACAAGACACTGTTTTGGATTTGGAAGCATCATATTTAAAATTATATCCAGCATATCACTGAGGAGGCAATCAGTGCATATTTGGAAGAAAATACACTCCTGTAATTTCAGAAGAAACATACAGAAAATCTCAGAGTCACAAAATAGTTTTTGTGGTCATGCTCAAAGGAGCAGCTTTGTTGAAATTTGTGGCCATAGTGTTCTGGAGCTATTTAGCGATCCAGTAGAATAGTAGGATGAAAGAAAGAATTGGCTTCTCAGCAATGACAGACTATTGCAGAATGAATCAAACTGAGAAAAGCTGGAATGAACAGTAAATGAGACAAATCAGCACTGTGTCTGTATTACACAGGAGTGCAAGCCTAGATTAGAGGAGTGGGGCTTAAATTTACATCCTTCAAACCCAAATTCTACAGCGCAAGCAATTGAGTTTAGCTAATGTTATTGAATCAGTTTGAAGATGAACAAAATCTCACCAGTTTCAGTTCTGAACAGGTTTCAATTATTCTGATTTGTCCTGACATACATACAATATGTACACTACATACATTCTGTCCCATTTCTAATCAGATGGTCTTTTCAAAAGAGTTCATGAATTTATTTAATTGGGAGTTGACACACTGAGCTGGGACATTGCTTCTAATTTTATACCTTGCCGCTAATTTTGCACTTCTGGCTTTACATTTTAGTTTGACGTTTATAGCCTTTAAGTGATTGTAAGCACAACATAATATCCTGCCAACTATGTTTAAGTGGGCGGTACAGCACTGCTGCCTCACAGCGCCAGGGACCTGAGTTCAATTCCACCCTCGGGCTGTGGTCTGTTTGGAGTTTGCACATTCTCCCCGTGTCTGCGTGGGTTTCCTCTGGGTGCTCCGGTTTCCGGATGTGCAGGGATAGGTGGATTGTCCATGCTAAATTGCCCATAGTGTTCAGGGATGTGTAGGTTATGTGGTTATACGGGAATGGGTCTGGGTGGGATGGTCTGAGGGACGGTGTGGATTTGTTGGGCTGAAGGGCTTGTTTCCACACTGTAGGGATTCTATGTTCTATAATACATTGGTACTTTGCTCAAAGATATCAAATATCAGAGCAGGCCCAAGGGGCCAAATGGCCTACTCCTGACCCTAATTCATATGTTCACATGCTTTCACTCCAATTTCAAATGGATTTAAATGTCCTGACTCTGCAGTTGTGAACAAACATTTCTACACACAAGAGGGAACAAAGGCAAGCAACAAGGAATTTCAAAGATCTGATATATGAACATTTCCTGTCCTTAACAAATGGCTCCTTTATATTGTCCCGCATTGTGTTCCAGTTTACCTACAAATCGACTTGCAAATGGACTTCAAATAGAGCTCATTCACAACCCAGGGTCTGTCTGCGCCAGGTATTCGGAATTATAAGGAAAAGTGAAGGAATTTGGGCCTCCTTTCTTTGGAAAGAGGACTTCAAAGTGAAATACTCTAGATTACCAACTCAATATAAAGGAGAGATCTAAGCAACTGTCCAATGTAGTGGTGCTTTCCAAAACAAAGAGATTGAGGGGTAATAAAAGAAGTGGCAGTGGTGTATCACTCTGAGTCTCGGTTGCGGGGGCACTTTTACATTCATTTTATCGTCTGGAGCTATGGCTAATGGTGAGAGAAGCTCCATATTCCCTTCCACCACATCATGGAACAGAAACCACTTCCGTTCTTACCACTACAACTGGGGTGTGCTGGAAAGATTTGTGGATTGGTATCAACGTGTGGTCACACTATGGACATACTTGCCATGACCATCAAGCTGGAACAGACTCCATGAGCCGAATGGCCTAATTGTGCTCCTATATCTTTAAGCCCTGGTCTGGGACTAGAACCGAGACCTTCTGACAGGTTTACAAAACACTCGAAACAGTTCATATCTAACTGCGCCACCATACCAATTTGTGTCACTATAAAGTTTCAAAAAATGTGCGGCCTAAAAAAATACCGAAAATACTAAACAGCATCCCTGAGGAGACAAACAGAGTCAATGTCCCTCTCTGTAGATGATCCTGCTGAGAATTTCTAGCAAGCTCTGTTGTTATTCATGTCCATTCACATCCAAGTCATTAATGTACGCGAATGACTTAGAATGTACATAAATGACTAGGGCATCAGGAATAGGTAATTACCTAGTGGTGTCATCGCTAGGCTATTAAACCAAAGATCCAGGAAATGTTCTGGGGATCTTGCCACAGCAGATGGTGGAATTTGAATTCAATAAAAATTCGGAATTTAGAGTCTACTGATGACTATGAAATCATTGTCAATTATCAGGAAAACCTATCTGGTTCATTAATGTTCTTGACAGAAGAAAATGCCACCCTTACCTGGTCTGGCCTATATGTGACTCCAGACCCACAGCAATGTGCCTGACTCTTTGCCCTCTGGGCAATTAAAGATAGCATTAAATGCTGACCTAGACAGTAACACCCTCATCCCATGAATGAATAAAAACCATGATCTGGATGTGACTGTAAAAGGTATAATTAGGAAGTTCGCAGATGACACAAGAATTAGTGGTGTTGTTAATAGTGAGGAGGCTGGTTTGAGGCTACAGTGTGATATTGATCACCTGGTAAATTGGCAGAACAATGGCGGGTGGAATTTAATCCCAGGAAGTGTGAGGTGATGCATTTTAGGAGGCCTAATAAGGGAAGAGTCTACATAATGAAAGATAGGATTCTAGGGAGTACTGGGAACCAAAGGGACATTGGTGTATCAAGTCATTGATCCCTGAAGGTGTCAGCTCAAATCGACTGGATGCTGAAGAAAGCATATGGGATGCTTGTTTTCATTAGACAGGACGTAGAATATTAGGAACAAGGAAGTCTTATTACAACTTTACAAAACATTCGTTAGGCCACAGATGGAATACTGTGTGTAGTTCTGGTCACCACACTATCGGAAGGACATGATTGCACAGGAAAGGGTGATTCACCGAAATGTTGACTGGAATAAAAAGCCTCAGTTGTGAGAGAGACAGGATGGGCTGGTTTTTTTTTTCCGTGGAGCAGAGGAGGCTGAGGGGAATCTGATTGGTATAGACAAAATTATGAGAGGCATAGACAAAGGTTATTCAGAGTGTCTTTTACCCTTGAGAGATGTGACGAAAACCAGAGGACATAAATCTGAGGTGAGAAGTCAGTGGTTTAGAGGGGATCTGAGGAAATATATTTTCACCTGGAAGTTATTCGAAATATGGAATGTGCTGCCTGAGAGGGTGAAGGAGGCAGGTATACTTACAATATTTAAGAAACATCTGCATGTGCACTTAAAATGCCAGGGCACAGTAGGCTATGGACGAAGTGCAGGTAAATGGGATCAGAGTAGGTTGGCGTCTGTTGGTCGGCACAGACAGGGTGGGTCTGTTCATATGCTGCATAACTCTATGACTCTATTTCAGATTACCAGCATCTACAGTATTTCTCCTTTGTAAAGGCAGAGTAGTTCAGTGGTGAGCACTGCTGCTTTGCAGTGTCGGGGACCCTGGTTCAATTCCACCCTTAGGTGACTGTCTGTGTGGGGTTTGCATGTTCTCCCCAGGTCTGGGTAGGTGTGCTCTGGTTTCCTCCCACAGTCCAAAGATGTGCAGGTTGGGTGGATTGGTCATGGGGATAGGGTAGGGGGCTGGGTCTGGGTGGGATGCTCCTCAGAGGGTCAGTGTGGGCCTGATGGACCAAATGGCCTGCTTTCACACCATAGGAATTCTATCATTCTAAAAGTATTTGTCCATTCTTCTAAACATTTTTTTTAAATTCACACATGGGACATGGAACATGGACATCACTGGCGAGCCAGTATTTATTGCCTGTTCCTATTTACCCTTTACAATGTGATGGTGGGCTGCCTTATTGAATTGCTGCAGTATATGTGCTGTAGGTTGACCTACAATATCATTAGGGAGAGGATTTCAGGACTTTGGACCAGCAACAGTGAAAATAATATATTTCCAAGGCAAGATGTTGAATGCCTTGGAGGGAAACTTGTAGGTGGTGGTGGTGTTCCCATGTAACTGCTGCCCTTGTCCTTCTGGATGGAAGAGGTTGTGTTTCTGGATGATGCTGTCTTCAGTGCATCTGTAGATAGTACACACTGCTGCTACTGTGTATTGGTAGTGCAGTGACTGTAATATTTGTGGAAGTGATGCTAATCTAGTAGGCTGCTTTGTTTCAGATGGTGTCAAGCTTCTTGAGTGTTGTTGGAGCTGCAACCATCCAGGCAAATGGGGAGTATTCCATCACACGCCTGACTTGTGTCTTGTAGAAAGCAGACTGGCTTTGGGGAGTCAGGAGGTCAGTTACTCGGCACAATATTCCTAACTTCTGACCAGCCCTTATAGCCACTGTATTTATATGGCAAGTCCAATTGAGTTTCTGGTCAATGGTAACCCTTAAGAATGTTGATAGTGGGGGACTCAGTGTCAGCAACTGAATGTCAAGGGGTGATGGTTAGATTATCTCTTACTGGAAATGGTCATTTGTGTGGCATAGTTGTCACTTTTCAGCCCAAGTCTGCATATTGTCCAGAAGTTATTGCATTTGGATGTGGACTGCTTTACTGTCCAGGTCAAGGCAAGTCAACATTTTTTTAACGATGACAATTTTCTTTAAGGTGATCAGGCTGAAATTGAAATGATCGTGCTTAATTCTGCTCTCACTCTATTTGTTACATGAATGAAATACTTTGAAATTTGCTGAGTTGAGCAGGTAGGAGGATTACTGGGCTCAGTTCCAAGAACAATGAAAATTGCTTCTTGCAGAGCTCCAGCTGAGAGAGTTTATGACAAGCATAGATAACATATCAGAGGACATAACAGAGAGTGAAGGACATTTTGTTATGACAGTCCAGTATTGAGCACCATAAGAACGTATCTATTTTTCATTAGGAGCCCAAGGTGAGGAAAGAAAGCCCATTTGTGCAGGAAACCGTCAAGACTGAAGGAATACAATCCAAAGTAAATCCATAAGGATTGAGCAGTTGGCAGCAAAATTCTAATTGAAATGCCTGACGAAGGCTGGAGGAAAGAAAGGTTGACGGTCATGAGGAAACTCTGCAGTTATCGGTTTTGGAGCGTATTAAAGAGCATAGAAAGCTATGTGTTAAGGAAGATGCAGGGAGGAGGAGGAACATGCACAGCAGCAGTTCGGGAGGTAAGAAGGATAAAGGGGAATGTAATTCAAAGAAATGCTGATCATAAGAAGAGCTGCCAGAAAAAAAAGGCAGGTTAATAGGATTGATCAACACGAGTGGCTTGTTAAAGTTAATGCCAATGAACTGTTCATAATATTTATAATGTGGAAAGGATTTTAGGCGGAGGTGATGGCATTGTGGTATTAATGCTAGACTATTAATTCAGAGAGCCAGATAATGTTCTGGGGCATAGGTTCAAATTCTGCCTTGGCAGATAATGGAAGTTGAATTTAATAAAAATCTAGAATTAAGATTCTAATGATGACCATGAAACCCTTGTTGATTGCTGAAGAAAATCCCATCTGGTTCATTAGGGAAGAAAGCTGCTATCCTTACCTGGTCTGGCCTACATGTGACTCCAGACCCACAACAATGTGGTTAACATTTATCTGTCCTCTGGGTATTTAGGGATGGCAATAACTGTTGGCCTGGCTAATGGTGCCTGCATTTCATGAATAAATGAATAAAAAAAGACACAGCTAGACAAGTCCAATTATAAGCTGATATGAAGAGTATACCTTATGTTGTCCCTAATATGCTTCTGTAAGAGGTTTATACATATTTCTCTATAAAATATAAACAGGGTAAAAGGCTTTCCAATTTGTATTGGAGGCTTCAGATGTTATATTAGCAGATGTAAGCTTTTTCAATTTGCCTTCCAGTGGCTACCACTTTCCCAAAGCTTCCCCCTTTCATTTTTTGCCACACCTTCTCTAGTTCCTCCACTGGACTTCACTGCCCAATGCCTTATGTCACTAATGCCACCATCAATTGCTGATCTCTTATCATGTGGAGTTATTGCTCAAGAGAATCTTGCCCGTACCTTTGACAGCTACATACACACTCTGACTGGTTGTCAGTTGAGGTTGCACAAGCACAGTGCAGATGTACTCTCCCTCGTCCACATCTTTCTGTACATCGGAGAGCTTTAAGGTCCCGTTATTCCCGTATGCCACCTGGCGATGGTTAAAGGGCAGCAGCTTGGAATTCTTGTACCACTTGATCGAATAGTATGGGTAGCCAATCACCCGACAATGAATATAGGTATCACGACCAGCTATGGCCGTGATATTTTTCATTGACCGTATACTGGCAGGTCCTATCAGAGAAAATCGAGAAAACAAAAAAAAAATACAATGGAAACTGTAAAAAGAGAGAGGAGATTTTGTTTAACAGAATAAAACTGCAAAAAAATTAAATAAACATCTGATAGCTTATGCTGATCCAATTATGACATAAACTTCAGAGAATAACTGACAAGTCACACTTTCCTGAAAAATCTAGAATTAAGGTTCTAATGATGACCATGAAATCATTGTTGATTGTTGAAGAAAATCCCATCTGGTTCATTAGGGAAGATAGCTGCTATCCTTACCTGGTCTGGCCTACATGTGACTCCAGACCCACAACAATGTGGTTAACATTTATCTGTCCTCTGGGTATTTAGGGATGGCAATAACTGTTGGCGTGGCCAATGGTGCCTGCATCTCATGAATAAATGAATAAAAAAAGACACAACTAGACAAGTCCAATTATAAGCATCACTTTGTTACCCTTAAAGGCATGACCCATTGTAACATCAGTACACCACTCAACCAAGTTTCTTTGATGGCAATGATTGTTAACAGCCAACTGGTATGGCAAGAACCAAAATGTATTCAAATCATAACTATTTCATTTTCGCCCCTGGGAACTTCATGCGATTTTGTTTCTTTGAAAAGGATCATTCTTACTGCAAAAGTCCGGGATGAAATTCACCTTTAAACTCCTGCCCGAGGAAGCTGAAGGATGGCTATTGTGTGACAGTGGCCCCGTTTACATGAACAATCTGGGAATTTCCCTGCATCGCTGCCTTAATTGTCTCTCTGGTAATTCTGATGCAAATTGCTCACAGGTTACAAGACAGGAGCGGTGCCATGTCGCGATAATGGAAATTAATCTCATTCAAAACCAATAATAAAGGAAAAGAACAGCAGGTGATTTTTAAATAAAATGGCGTTGATTCACATACGATCGACTAATGAGTTGCCCACATGGAATTATTTGGCTTGACGAGTGCATTATTGGTGTTACTTCAGGATAGTCCAACGCATCAACAGAGGTTGATTTGGCTTGACTGAAAACAGCTCAACTAGGGAAATAAAAGAACAGTGGGGAAGATGAGGAGACGGGTGTCCAGGGGATCCTTGGGAATAAATACTGGACAGATTATTTGGCACACTTTGGTGTCACATGATTAGGGCTTAGGAAAAGCATGACTCACATGGTGATGGAAAACCATTTCTGTGAAGCCTGAAAATAAAAGAAGTCAGGATCATCAGGAGAGGGTAGGAAGGAGAATAAAGAAAGAATGGAAGCAGTGAGACATTTATCTGCAAAACAAATCAGAAAAGGACCATTCAAAATTCAAAAGCAGAACTTAAGAATGCATGGATTTTACAATCCTAATGAAATGAATTATGTGTTCTGAGGAGCTAATTTGACAAGCACCTCTTACGTTTATTCGAGCCTGATACATGGCGACTCCAGCAGAGTTGTTGGCCACACACCGGTAGACTCCTCCATCCCGGACCTGAGTGTTGGTGACATTGAGGTGGCTGACCATATTACCCTCAGTGGTGCTGTACTGGCTGAAGTGATGGCTCCCATCTCGTGCGATTGAGTCATCGTCCAGGGTCCAGGTAATGGTTGGTGGTGGATTGCCTTTCACACTGCACATCAGTGAGATGGGCTCGTTGGGACTCACGACCTTCTCACTAAAAAACGAAATCACCTTCGGCGTTCCGTCTGGAAACAGAAAGGAGGCAAAATGTCAGCCCTCAGATACTACTTCAAAAAATTGTTTTTTACTCCAACTAAACAGCTCATTTCGCCACAATATGTACAGCCTATTGATAAGGGACATGGTCATTTTACAATGGGCCGAGACTCAACACTTACCTTTTTTGAACTCTTTTTATTTCACTTTTCTGTATTCTTTTGTCTTTTCTTTAAGGTGCCAGTAAAGAAAATTATGGCTACTGAGCATGTGTGAAAGATGCTGGTTCATAGCTACATCAGATTACATGACTGGATCCTGGGTGTCTAGGGCTCCAGGTAAGATGTTATCTTTTCCCATTTTTTATATACTGTTTTATTTAATAATGCCTCTTGCTATTCATTCACAAGATGTAGATCTCATTTTACTGCAGTACTGTCTCTGCAGAACAGGTTATCCACCAATAATCATCATGGCTAAATGGACAGGTTAAACATTGCCTGGTTCAACTCAATTGTACCCTTCCAGATCACTACATAATGATCATGAGTGGAAACTTTGTGGAAATTCTTTTCCCTTTCCAGCCTGGCCACTGAGCCTGGGAAGAGTGCCCTGCAGTCAGCATCATGGTGATGCAGTCTGGGAAGAGTGCCCTGCAGTCAGCATCATGGTGATGCAGTCTGGGAAGAGTGCTTTGCAGTCAGCATCATGGTGATGCAGTCTGGGAAGAGTGCCCTGCAGTCAGCATCATGGTGATGCAGTCTGGGAAGAGTGCCCTGCAGTCAGCATCATGGTGATGCAGTCTGGGAAGAGTTCACTGCAGTTAGCATCATGGTGAAGTCATTGGAGTAGCTGTAAGGGTAGAACAAATCTGGGAGCAAATAATGGCAGTGGAGCTTCCTGATAAAAGTGTGAGGGGCAAAGTGCAGACTGAGCTCAGTCAGAGCAAGAATGTGAATGAGAACAGAACCATCACTGAATTCGGAGGTGTAGCTCCTGAGGTGATGTCAGGATTTAAACTGAGACAGGGAACCAGGAAGCAGCTGATTGGGTAAGTAAAGTCAGGAGAATATTAAACAAAATCCATTCTTCTGGAGTTGTTACTAGTTAAACAAAAACGAGTGGGAGTGGTGAAGGTTGTGGCAGGTGTTGGGATAGTGGTGGGAAATTACCAACAAGGACACAATTTGTTTTCAATTCGATCACAGGATGTGGGTATCACAGTCTATACTAGCATTTATTGCCCATCTCTAATTGTTCAGTTCACCGTGAGCCTGGAGTCACATGTAGGCCAGATCAGATAAGGTCAGCACATTTCCTTCACTCAATGCATGACTGAACCAGAAAGTTTTTATGACAATTGACATGGTTACCATTAGGCCGATCTAACTTTAGATTTCTATTGAATTCAAACTTCACCATTTGCCATGGTGGGATTTGAATCCATGTCCTCAGGGAATCGGCCTGGCATTCTGGGTTACTATTTGTTACCACTTCGCTATGGACAAAAGTAGCCTTGATGAGGAGTTCATAGAATGTTTTAGGATAGTTTCTCAGAACTGCATTTCTGGAGCTGACCAGAGAGCAAACTATACTAGATCTGGCATTTTTGAATGAGATAGGACTAATTAATGACAATATAATGAAAATACCCCTATGTCAAAGTGATCATACTTGTTTGAATTTTACATTCAGTTTGACAGGGAGAGGAGTGGAGTCAAGCTTAATATTTTAAACTTAAATAGGGCTATGTCGTAAATGAGGGCATGAGAGAAGCATTAACTAAAGCGCTTTCATCGTGAATTAGTGTGCATATATTTGGGGTTTTCGAAGGGATAGAGTTTAAGTTGCACAGTATTAGATAAAAAATTCTTTCTTTTCTCTGCCATTTGTTTAAGTGTATTATAATAGAGTTATCTTCTGTTAATGATAAAAGCTGCAGCAAATTGTTTTTGACCTGAATAGCAGTCAGTTAAGCCAATTGATCATTGAGATTTTAGACATTTTGTGAGGGCTAATGAAACGGTGGGGCACAATTATCAGTACACTCTTCCCAGTTAAGTTGTGAGAAGGGAAATAGGTGGATGCACTGTATTTATATTTCAAGAAGGCATTTGATAAAGTGCAAAATCAAAGATTATCCAGGGGAGATCGCCAATTGGATACAAAATTGGCTTGAAGGTAGGAGACAGAGGGTGGTGGTAGAGAGTTTGCTTTTCGGACTGGAGATCTGTGACCAGCGGTGTGCAACAAGGGTCAGTGCTGGGTCGACTGTTTTTCCTCACTTATATAAATGATTTGGATGTAAATATAGGAGGCATGGTTATTGGGTTTGCAGATGACACCAAAATAGGCAGTGTAGTGGACAGTGAAGAAGGTTATCTCAGAGTACAGCGGTACCTTGATCAGAAGAGCCAATGGGCCAAGGAGTGGCAGACAGAGTTTAATGCGAGGTGTTGCAAGACTTACACAGGGCCTTAGGGAGTGCTGCTTAATAAAGATACATAGGTACATATTTCCTTGAAAGTGGAGTCACAGGTAGATAAGGTGGTGTAGAAGGGATTTAGCATGCTTGCCTTTATTATTCAGAACATTGAGTACAGCAATTGGGATGTCATGTTGCATCTGTACAGGACATTGGTGAGGCTACTTTTAGAATAATGTGTATAAGTCTGGTCACCCTTCTGCAGGAAGGATGTTGTTAAACTTGAAAGGGTGCAGAAAAGATTTACAAGGATGTTGCCAGCTTTGAGCTATAGAGAGAGATTGAATAGGCTGGGTTTGTTCTCCCTGGAGCGTCGGAAGCTGAGGGGTGACCTTTTAGACATTTATAAAATCAAGAGGTACATGGATAGGATGAACAGCCAAGGTCTTTTTCCAAGGGCGGGGAGTCCAAAACCAGAGGGCATAGGTTTAAGTTGAGAGGGGAATGATTTAAAAGGAACCTAAGGGGCAATTTTTTTATGCAGAGGGTGGTGCGTGTATGGAATGAGCTGCCGGAAGAAGTAGTAGAGGCTGGTGCAATCGCAACATTTAAAAGGCAACTGGAAAGGTACTTGAATGGGAAAGGTTTAGACGGATATGGGCCAAATGCTGGCAAATGGGACTAAGTCAGATTGGGTCGTCTGGTCAGCATGGACGAGTTGGACTGAAAGGTCTGTTTCCGTGCTGTGTGACTCTGACTCTATTATTGCAAACAATAAAAGTTCATTGTGTTGGGACTATCATATTATCAAGGAAAGAAGATTGACTGGCTAACAGGAAAAAGAGAGTAGGCATTAATAACTCTTTTTCTAATTGGCAAGATATAACAGTCAGTGCTGGGGTCGTAGCCTTTAACAATTTACATGAATGACTTAGATGAAGAAACCAAAGCAATGGTCACTAAATTTGCTGACGATACATTGGAAAATAAGTTTGAAAATGACATAAGGAAGCTAGAATGGGATTATGGATAGGTTAAGTGGTGGGAAATGATCTATGTGGAAAAAAGTGAAATTACCCATTTTCAAAGAAAGTATAAAAAAGAACCATATTATGTCAATAGTGAGAGATTGCGGAGCTCTGAGATGCAAAAGGATATGGATGCCATTCTGAATGAATCACAAAATGTTAGAATGCAGGTCCGACAAGTCATTAGGAAAGATTGTAGAATGTTATCATTTATTCTAAGGGGAATTGAAGACAAAAGCAGGGAGAGTGTGCTTTGGTTATACAGGGCACCAATGATACCAATTCTGGAGTACTTTGTACCTTGTCTCTGTATTTCAGGCAGGAAATAAATGCATTGGAAGCAGTTCAGAGAAGGTTTATAAGAGTAAAATCTGTAATGGGCAGGTTGCCTTGTGAGAAAAGGTTGAACAGGCAGGGTTTGTATCTATGAGAGTTTGGAAGAGTAATAGGCAATTTGATTGAAACATATGAGCTCTTGAGAGGGTTTGAGAGTGTGGATATGGAAAGGATGCTGTCTTTTGTGGAAGAATTCAGAACTAGTGATCACTATTTGAAAATAAGGAGTCACCCACTTAACGTAGAGATGAGGAGAATTAATTTCTCCTAGAGAGTTGTGAGTGTTTGGAACTTTCTTGCTGAAGGGGTGGTCGTAGCACTAACTGACCATTGTAAAGGCTGAAGTGGAGAAATTCTTGGTAAGCAAAGGGTCAAAAGGTTATTTGGGGTCAGCAGCAATGTGGAGTTGAGTAGCCACAATTATTTTAAATGGAGAGGCCAAATGGCCTACTTTGCTCCTAACTCATAGGTTCACATGTAATAGCTTTTTTCTCCTAAGTATCCACTACACATTTCTCCTTCTTTACTCTGTTGATGTCAGTGTGGCATTTTCAGTTACATCATCCTCATTAACATGGTCATTTCTGATTATAATACAGCCTCTTTCTAAGTTTTATAAGTTTTAGACATTACATCCCCAACTACTTTGGCAAGATATTCAGCACCATTAAGGTTAATGTTGATTTTAATTTAAAACTTCCTTCACTCATTTGCTCATTGAAAATGCCCCTCGAATGTTGCTATGGAAATCGGGGAAGCTAAATGCGGATGATCAAATCTACTCTTAAGCGGATGTGATGCAACTTCCCTCCTTCAATGATCTTTCACTTCTCCCACTTTAAAGACCTGGACTCCTTGCTGGAGTCTGATCTATACATAGCTGTCACCCTCCCCAGCTCATAAGATCGGTTCCTCCTTCTGGGTAGGCTAGGGCAATCAGACCTCTTAGAGAAAAGGAAAGTGGAAAAGGTTGAACCATTTGTGATTCCCGAATATCTCCAGAGCCTTTACTGGCAGGTCCTCAGATTCACCACCATTAGCTAACTTCCTCCACTCTCCACTGTTTTCCACGGTTACTGAGTTCCACTGTAGCCCTGACAGCATAGAAGATCTTTCACTTTTTTTATGGTTAACATTTAAGTTGAATGTGGTCCACATCCAGCAACACAACAGGACCCAACAAATTTTGACAGATCAGTGCCACCATCACTATCCACACATCCGTTCCTCCCCAATTCCT